GTGCAAAAGACCTGAAGCATGTGGAACTCGGTGTTGATCCCCTACCTCTTCAGAGAAGTTTGAGGCTCTTATGGAACCTAGAGACAGATAGCTTTACGTTCAAGGTATCCCATGAAAAATAAACTATACACTCGCAGAGGTGTATAGTCCACAGTCAACAGCTTATACGATCTTCTGGGTTTTGCTGCACCAGTGATCATGCAAGGGAAAGCGTTAGTACGCGAACTGTCAGCAGGAGAACATGGATGGGACACACCATTTCCACCAGAAAAGGAAGAAAGATGGAACATTTGGAAAGATTCTCTTACGGCTCTGGTAAATCTGCACATAAGGAGATGTTACATTTCTGTTTCACTCTCTTCAGTACAGAACACAGATGCATTTTCTCAGATGCCTCCACAACAGCAATTGCAGCTGTAGCCTACGTGAGAGCAGTTGACAGTAATGGGAAATGTCATGTTGGTTTTATCATGGGAAAATCCAAACTGGCTCCACGGCCTGCCCACACTGTCCCACGTCTAGAGCTATGTGCAGCTGTACTGGCCGTCGAACTGTACGAGCTCATAAAAGATGAGATAGACACCCATGTTGATGCTGTAAGGTTTTTTACAAATAGTAGGATCGTTCTTGGCTACATCTACAACACCACTAGAAGATTTTACGTATATGTGTCTAACAGAGTGACCCGTATCAGACAGTCCACTCAGCCGAAACAGTGGGCTTATGTCTCCACAGATGAAAATCCTGCAGACTATGCCACTGGGTTCATGCCAGCAGCACATCTACAGCAAAGCAGTTGGCTATCAGGTCCCAGTTTTTTGATCTATGAGAAAACATCTGAGCCCAATACATTCACTCTTATTGAGCCAGAAGTCGACACTGAGATCCGACCTGAGATCACATCCTCAGCCACATCAATATCAAACACGCCTACCACAGATCAGCTTGCACAAGCCAAGTGCGTGATAATGCACTCTATTCAGTGTGATCTATTCAAAGTGGAACTTAAGTGCTTCAAGGATGGCAAAGTGCTTCCCAAACCGAGTCCACTCAAAAGGTTCAACCCCATGGTAGCTGAAGATGGTTTGATCCGAGTGGTGAGGCCGTATATCTTCTTCAGACTTGCCAAGAGGCGAGTGCCACGCTATCATTGTCCCATGCACTCATCACATTGCTACGCTCTTAGTGAGGTTCTATCTACCCCCAAGTGGCTCATCAAGGACGTCACATAACAAAGGGTGCAATCCGAGCAGCGGGATATTGGATCATTGGTGGCAAACGTCTGGTTTCTTCTGTCATTTACAAGTGTGTTATCTGTCGTAAAGTACGTGGAAGACTACAGTATCAAGTCACCCCAGCACCTCCTTTCACTAGTGTGGGCCTCGATGTTTTTGGGCCGTGGAATGTTATGACACGCCGCACCAGAGGAGGGTGCGCAGAAAGTAAACGGTGGGCAGTGCTGTTCACTTGTATGTGTACCAGAGCTGTACATATTGAGCTGATCGAATCCCTGTCAACTGACAGTTTCATCAATGCTCTCAGAAGGTTTTTTGCAGTACTTGGCCCGGCCAAACTCCTCCACTCTGACAGAGGAACTAACTTCGTTGCAAAGAGCTGGGCATCGAAGCTGAGCACTCAACTGTCGAGGCCTACCTCCAGAACAAAGGAAGCACATGGGTGTTCAACCCCCCGCATGCTTCACATATGGGAGGTTCATGGGAAAGACTCATCGGTGTTGCTAGACGCATCCTGGATGCCATGCTGGTTCAGTCAAATCACATGCGGCTTACTCATGAGGTCCTGAGCACTCGTATGGCTGAAGTGATGGCCATCATGAATGCAAGACCGCTGGTACCTGTGTCTACCAATCCAGATATACCTACAGTCCTCACACCAGCGATGCTTCTTACGCAAAAGATGAGCACAGTCTCTGCTCCATCTGGGGACTTCCAAATGGCGGAGTTACATGGAAAACAATGGAAGCAGGTGCAGTGTCTTGCAGACACTTTTTGGAAAAGATGGAAGGCAGAGTACTGTCTACTCTTCAGAACCGCAGGAAGTGGACTGAAGAAAGGCCGAATATTAAAGTCGGGGACATTGTGCTCATTAAAGACAGCCAAGCCCATAGAAATGTGTGGCCTGTGGGAATGGTTGTCAGGACTCTACCAGACGCTGATGAAACGGATCGCAAAGTAGAGGTCAAAACAGTGAGACCGATCTCAGAGATTGTTGTCCTGCTCTCTGAGTAAGATTAGAGGATGTATAGTGGTATAATAATAATATACCAAGCGGGGAGTGTGCTGCCTTTCATTGAAATGCAGTTTTAGTTTTTTTACATTATGATAGTTTTTTTTGTAAAGGGATGTGAGTAAGCTGCCACCTTGTGGTCGTTCCTTGCTGAAGTTTCACTTTCGTTGTTGCTATTGAGCACATGCTAGTTTACTGTAGGACGGACGTCGTCTTCACATTTGAGTTTTGGACATTATTTGCCTGTAAGTAAATACAGTATTATTGATTTAAAGTGTTCTAATACATAAAGCAGACATGTAGAAATTCATGCGTAAAATAATATTTCTAATTAGTATCTGCTTTGCGTGCGTGTAATAGCTGGTTCACTTTGTGTTTAATTAATGTACTATGTTTGTTTGTTTGTTTGTACTTGTTACAGTTTAACGAGAAAATCATAACTTGGAAAACGACTAAAAGAATAACAACAAAAGCAAGCCTTGTTTGAATTTTTTTGGATTCCAAGTTCACGTTAACTGACTGTCTAGTTCTACCGAGTCACGCAGAACAAGGGCAGTACAACGACCTTGGCTGCTTTACAGTTCTTTCTTATTCGAATATGTGCATAAGTAGATGGGGAATTAACATGTAACATTTTAATTACACTCTGAAGCGAACGAAATGACTCGAAAAAAGGTTCATTCATTTTGCTCAATGAACCGAATCAGTAAAATGATCCGAACTTCCCAGAGTGTTCAGCAGACCTGCCACCAGCAGAGACATGGATGAGCTGCGCATGTGCCTGCCACAGTTCTCAGTGTTTCATCCTCATTGACATTTTTCTCATAAGGCAACAGGCGAGAGAAATGCTGTCACAAAATTCATATGTATAAAAAAAAAAAAAAAGTCCTCTCTCTGTAACTTCATTAATGCAAATTGCTTTTTCATTCTTCCATACAAACTTAACCTTTCATATTGACATAATTAAACATTAAATTTAAAGACAGTCAGCCTTTGTTGCTATATTACAGTGATCATTACTTCTGTTTAGTCTGGCATTTTTCTTAATGTTTTAATCTATGAATGAACAATAATATAAAGAGTTATGCACATAGTGTCATTCTGACTGGCAGCACACCTAAGCCATGAATGTATTGCTATGTATATACCACATGGTGATGCCATTTAGCGACTTTTCCAGGAGGGTTTTGCTACTTAACATCCATCTATTATCTATACTGTTTATTCCTGAACAGGGTCGCAGGGGCTGGAGCCAATCCCAACTGAAATTGGGCGAGAGGCGCGGTACACCCTGGACAGTTCGCCAACCTATCACAGGGCTGACATGTAGATAAACAACCACACACACTCACTCTTATGGGCAATTTAGAGTCACCAGGCAACCTAAGCTGCATGTTTTTGGACTTTGGGAGGAAGCCAGAGTACCCATGCAAGCACAGGGAGAACACGCACATTCCGCACACAAAGGCCCTGGGTCAGCTGGGGCTCAAACCCGGGACATTATTGCTGTCCTGGTTTTGCTACTTAACAATGAAAATAGTCAGCACACTGCAAAGCACACAGATGGCCCTTCTCTGTCCATGTTTGCCGTCAGTCCACAGTGCCAGCTCTCAAACAGAGGAAATACCAAAAACAGTCTTTACGTCTGTGCTGGTATATGCTAATGTACAGTAGTTAATATACTTTTTAAACACATAAAGAAAATAAATAAAAGATCTTACCTTTAACACTGCTGTCTACACTGTAGACTTTAATAGGCATAGAAAACCTTGTGTGACTTCTTCAGGAAGAGATTGAGTCAAATGCAGACAAAGTACAGCAGTGCAGGGCATGATGTTTGTGCTTAAACGGCCACAGTATGACCCAGATAAGCATGACACACAGTAATCCCAACAGTATGACACAAGGCCATATGTACAGAGTACATTCAACCTCATTGATTTCAGATATTCAATACACCAACAAACACGGGGCTTCAAGATTAAAATACAAAGCAGGACCCAGGTTAATTTCCTTATGTCAGCTGGCATTTAAGTGGCGTATATTTCTAAGTAGATTTTCAATTAATTTAGCACACACCAGGTGACACGCATTAGACTAGGTCTGGTGCTTTGGGGGTCCACGGGAAGAACCCTACTTTGCCCTGTTGGTAAGCAAGCCTTTGTCCTTTAGACTCTGACTTTGGCATCACTTACCGATGATGAGTGGTGGAGTGCTGTTACTGGGTACTCTGGTTTTGGCGTTGGGTGGGAAGACAACGTTGATGATCCAGAAACTCGAGGAGTGGTGTAGCCCCAGCAAAAATACAACCAGCAGAGACGAGCACAGGTGTCCGGCAGAGCCCATGTTTCTCTGGAGCAGCTTGGTCTCAGTCTGTGTGCTGCTGGGGGACAGGGAAATGCGGGAAGGAGGTCGGACCAGTGAAGACGCTATGTTACCTGCTCTGCATTAAAAATATATTCCCTCTTTGAGCACGTTTCGCCTCTAAATTAACTGTTTACGAGAAAATCAATTAAACAGATATTCATACCCCACAGAGACACACACGGACACAAGATGCAAGACACAGACATCCACAAGTTTATCATTACAGGTTACGCATTGCCTATTTATCTACACAATAAAATGTAAATAATCCATAAAGATTACTGAAATGAGAAGATTGTTTTTTCTTAGAGGGAAAAAAATTTCTTACGAGAAAAAAGTTTTTAAAAAGTTTAAAATCAATACGCACTGGCTATGCAGCGGTTAAGTAGCCTATTGAGTTGTATGATTATTCACTGTACATGCATGATTTATGCTGTTTAAGTTCGTTATAACAGATGCCAAAAACGCAGTACTGTAAACGTTTGCATAAGATAACTTACTCAACGGGCAAAGATCCCAGTTTTCCTCTCCCTCAGCAGAGTCCAGCTCTGAGTCCCTGGGCAGGGAGAGCTTTGAACTCAGCTGGTGCTGCCTTCAGGATTCTCGTAAACTCGGGGAATTTAATAACTTTTACATGGAAACAATCTTCAATATCAGTTGCTCATTCATTGCCAGAGCTAAGAGAAAAATGCTAGGATTAATGTTCCCCTGTAGGCCTAACCATTAAAACATGAATTGCTGCCAAGATTTTTATTCTTTATAGTCTAACCCCTCAGTATGGCTTGAGATGGCTAGATATTCATTGTAGACACAAAATGAAATGCTAAAGATAACATTTCAGACACGATTTGAAAGCAGCATGTTAAAACGTCATCAAGCCTGTTGTTACCGTAAGCACATCTCTGTGCAGTCTTCGCTAACACAGCAGGGAACAGATCTTTCTGTTGTAGCAAATTCGTTAATTGCAACATTTCATAAATGCTCAGGCTGCTGACGGGGTGGGGGGGAAATGGGAAACAGTTTCAACCATCGGGTTTTAACAGGGGGAGAACATCTCAGCAGGGGGAACAGACTACAGCACTGGCTCCACGTGAGGTTACTTTAGATTGACTTAGCAAACCCCACGTTTGGCCACTTGAAGTAGGGCACATGATCACTTCTTCATAGATCCTGGCTCCAGAAATTCCTACTGCATGTGTTTAAATAAAGTATGAATAAAAAAGCAGAATTTGTAGTTCACATTGTGGTGTGAAATGTACAAACTCCAATTCCAATGAAGTTGGGACATTGTGTAAAACGTAAATAAAAACAGAATATAATGACTTGCAAATCTTTTTTGACCCATATTTAATTGAATCCACCATAAAGACAAGATATTTAATGTTCAAACAGATAAACTTTATTGTTTTTTGCAACTATTCACTCATTTTGAATTTGATGCTTGCAACTAGTGATGGCCATCGGACACCAATGCTCAGATACAAGCTTCAAACTCGAAAACGCATTTTCAGCGAACCACTGCTTCGATGCTTGTTTTGTTGTGGAAGAAGATATGTGACCAATAACGTTCTGCTTCATTCCCGAGTGAATCCCATGACTGGTTCAAACAGTCGATACAGGCTCAGTCATTCACAGCAAGGATGGGGCGCAGTTCACCACTTTGTGAACAACTGTGTGATCAAATAGTCCAAAAGTGTAAGAACAATGCAATTTTTTCTCAATGTACAATTGCAAGGAATTTAGGTATTTCATCATTTACAGTCCATAATACCTATCATCAAAAGATTCAGAGAATCCAGTGAAATCTCTGCATGTAGGCCGTAAACCAACACTGAATGCCCATGACCTTCAATCCCTCAGGGGGCACTAAAAGCAGACATCATTCTGTGAAGGATATTACCATGTGGGCTCAGGAACACTTCGAAAAACCACTGTCAGTTAACACAGTTCGTTGCAACATCTATAAGTGTAAGTTAAAACTCTACCATTCAAAGCGAAAGCCATACATCAACAATACCCAGAAATGCCGCCAGCTTCTCTGGGCCCAAGCTCATTTGTGATGGACTGATGCAAAGTGTGCTGTGGTCTGACGAGTCTGCATTTCGGTAGGTAGGTAAACCTTTATTGATCCCACAGTGGGGAAATTCCAGTGTTCCAGCAGCAGTAAAGGACAAAACAACATGACACCATAAGAATAAACACCCCACACATATCTTGAGAAAACAAGATCCAGGTACCTTGTACTGAGGACTGTAACTGGTGGGTATAGGCTATCACTTCAGGGTGTCGGGTCAGAACATCAATTTTGCACAGGTGAGTTGAGGTAGAGATTGAATGTCCAAATCCAGGGATTAATTTATCTTCATTTTAATTCTTGCATGAATCAACAGTGAACATGTATATTGAAGGTCTGCGTGTGGTTTTTCTATAATAGAAACAAACAATATCAGCGATATTATCAAGAAACAACTTAAAGTACAATAAGTGGCTAAAAGTTTATAGTAAACTTAAACCAGCTATTAATTGGTCACACAATGCACTAATAGTATAACATCCCGTTAATAATTATGCAGGAATGACATACGACGTAACTTGGAACTCTCACACCAACTACCACACGGACATATTCGAGGCAAAACACAGACCTACAAGCTGTAGTAACATGAATGCTAAGTAGCTAATGGCTAGCGTTCTAAAGTGCCACAATACGGTGATTATTTCACGATGTCCATGTCATGCAAATATGTATCCCATGGTGAATTTCTGCAGTGATATACAGAAGATAGCTCCAGATCTCTACCTACTGGCCAGAACGATAACTACATGCATAACTGAATTAAAGTGGAACTAAATTAAAGAGGCTAAATAGAACAGTCTGTTTTACAGAATAACTCCTCCTGCAATGGAAAACAGAACAACAGACCTCCCACAGTTTGTCCCTGAGACACAAGCCAAAAACGATACCTAGGAACAAGACAAAAAAGAATAGTATTGAGAGGAATCAAGAAAACAACCAGGAAATCAAGGACAATTGAATATTACTCTCACAATTAATCCCACAATGGGGGAAGGAAACCTGTTTGCAGCCATAATAATCCCTGAGGAAAGCAGGGCAATGTACAGTATTTGAGAGAGATCAGGAACAAAATATTACACATAGATGTCATGTCCTCCGGGCTAAAGAGGAAAAGGACCATCCAGATTGTTATCAGCACAAAGTTCAAAAGCCAGCATCTGTGATGGTATGGGGGTGTGTTAGTGCCCATGGCATGGGTAACTTGTACATCTGTGAAGGCACCATTAATGCTGAAAAGTACATACACGTTTTGGAGCAAAACATGCTGCCATCCAAGCGACGTCTTTTTCAGGGACGCCCCTGCTTATTTCAGTAAGACAATGCCAAGCCACATTCTGCATGTGTTACAACAGCGTGGCTTCGTAGTATAAGAGTGTGGGTACTAGACCGGCCTTGCCTGCAGTCCAGACCTGTCTCCCATCGAAAATGTTTGGCACATTATATAGCACAAAATACAACAACGCAGACCCCAGACTGTTGAACAACTGAAGTCGTACATCAAGCAAGAATGGGAAAGAATCCCATCTACAACAATTAGTGTCCTCAGTTCCCAAACACTTATTAGGTGTTGTCAAAAGGAAAGGTAATGAAACACAGTGGTAAAAATACCTCTGTCCCAGCTCTTTTGGAATGTGTTGCAGGCATCAAATTCAAAATGAGGAATGGGGTTTGTACACTAGCAAAGTCAGATATAAGCAGACAGAAGCAGATGTTCATTGTTTAACCCATTTAATTGACCTTGGCAAGGGATCTTCTTGTATTGTATTCCCTTCATCGCTGAACCTACACCCCGACCCTGAAAAAAGGAACTCTTTTATTATTTCTCAACCACACTTTACTGTTTTTCCATTGCCTGTGTGACTCCTGCCTTCAATGTGCTTTTCTTGAGAATGTTTCTCCTTCCTTCACTCATTTTTTCACAGTGCTCATGCTGCATAACTGGGACAGCACCTTCACTTCACATTAACAGGTTACTGGGATTTTTTTTTAAATTCTGACCATTCTGTGACACCCTGTGTGCCCTACGCTAATTTCTACCTGCATAGCAATGTCATTTTGGAACCACCTGTTGTCCTTCTTAAGACTGATTGTCCACGGGACCCAATGCAGGCTCAGGACAATGATATAGTGATATAACAGCTCAACTTTAATGGGATACATGGAGATGCAGAGTAACACTTTTCCAGGCAAAACAATAGACTTTTTCCACAGCAGCCATTTTGACATGAAAGAGCAGTTAATCACTGGTGTTACTAATCACATTAATTAAGGCTATTTACTTGAATAGCACAGAACGTTCATTAATATCATTAATAGCACCTGTGTTTTCATGGCAAAATGGCTGTTGTGAAAAGGTCTAGGCCTATAACATGGCTAAGGCAGGTAAACCATAGTCTTAGTTGTTACAAAAACAGTGCTCAAGCAGAAAATTAAGTCGTATTAACACATAAAAAAAAAATCAAACTCTCCTAACACAGGAACACATAAAAAAAATCAAACTCTCCTAACACAGGAAAACAGGCTTCTAACCAGCTTGAAAGTGAGAGATGAGAAAGCCAGAGAAGAGAGTCAAGGTGCACCAGGGGTTAGTCTATAGGTTTGTAGGGACAGAGGTCAGGCAATGACTTGTCTTTGTGATGAGGCTCCATGAATGGCAGCACATACCTCTTGAACTGGCTTGGTTAACTGCACCTAATGCATAGTAGATGACTCAAAAGAGAAAAGCTGGGGCAAATGGGCCGAATTGGAAGGGGAAGTGCACCAAAATAAGTCCGTAACAGGAAGTTGTGGAGAACCATGACATTTAAAGTTGGAAAGCCACATAGCAAAAACAAACTGCATCCACTCACTATGGTAGCAGTTAAACTTTTAATATTGAGAGCATATCTATTGTATGACCACAGTGATCATATAGGCAGCAAGTTAGTAGAGTCTAGATTGCACCTACTGAATTGTACACTAATGCACTTTTTCAGTGGTTAATTATAATTGGTTAACCACTGTGTTTCAAAATGGAATGATTAATGTACATTTAAATCATACTATTCTATTAAAAACTAACTGATAAAAGTGCTATAACAAATGATCCACTCAAAGGTCGTGCACTGCCATATGTGGTCTCATTTATTCTGGCTGACTGATCAGATTTCAGCTTGAAGTTGGAAAGAACTGTGCAGGTGCCCAATACGTCGATCGCGATCGACCGGTAGATCGCGAAGGTAGTGTCGCTAGATCGCGTGCCATTCAAAAATAAATTAGATGTATCCGTAAAACATGTGCCAAATGTTAACATGCGAATGGTCAGTGTGACGATTCGCTGTGATGACCCCTAACAGGAAAAGCAGAAAGTGACAATCATTCATATACAGTGAGGAACAGAAGTATTTGAACACCCTGCGATTTTGCAAGTTCTCCCACTTAGAAATCATGGAGGGGTCTGAAATTCACATTGTAGGTGCATTCCCACTCTGAGAGACAGAATTTAAAAAAAAAATTCAGGAACTCACATTGTATGATTTTCTAAAGAATTTATTTGTCTTGCACTGCTGAACATAAGTATTTGAACACCTGAGAAAATCAGTGTTAATATTTGGTACAGAAACCTTTGTTTGCAATTACAGAGGTCAAACGTTTCCTGTAGTTCTTGACCAGATTTGCACACACTGCAACAGGGATTTTGGCCCACTCCTCCACACAGATCTCCTCTAGATCTGTCAGGTTTCGGGGCTGTCGCTGAGCAAC